GCATCCAACATCTTTGAGACAACTAGCACAATTTGTGTAACATGAGACAGCAGAGAAAGCATGCGGTGCATTACTCCTTCAGAATATCTAACTGAACCTTAAACATGTTTTACTTATAAAAATTCTACCACATAAGACAAGGTGTGTCATAAAAACCATTAAATGTCACATCAAAGAACTAGTACAGTGTAGATAAATCAATTAAAATCAATGTGGGTCAAACTGCTTCTCAGTAAGCGTTAAACTCAAAAAACAAGCCAAAAACAACAATTCACTTAACTAAGCGCATCTTAATTTCTCTCTAGCTACAAAAAAAAAAAAAAAAAAAAAAAAAAAAAAGATTACATTTAAAACAATTTTACTTACATTCCTGGTCAGACAGGGATCACAAAGGTGTACACTTGGTTTAAAAAACTGCTAGTATTGTGAAAACACGTTTTCTCCTCTCTAGATCAGACAAAGGAATGAGATGTGCAGTGAAATTTATGCCACCCCTAGGAATGTCGTTAAAAAGCAATCAAAGGAAACTATTTGCTAGCTAACACTTTCTATGGGCAATAGGGGTCAGCACATTACTACCTACTTTGATTCAGCTAGCTAAATTTTGCCAGGTGTTACATATTTGTCTCACATTTTCCACAGGTGCCAGGTTTTTCTCCATTTTTTAAAAAATAAATAAACATATTTGAAAAGTTATTTTATTTAAATCTAACAAATTTTGACAATTATTTAATCAGAACGGAAATCATTGTATGACATTCCTTACATAGAGTTATTTTTTACATCTTATAATCACTGTTCCGTAATACTCGGCGAATACTTACACTGACTATTTACTGCTTTGAAGCCATCTGTCAACACGGGGCATTTGCTAATGTGATCGCACCTTTGGTGAATTTAACGACAGATAAAAGAGTGAATCGCCAAATCAATTTCAACACAGTACCGGTATTACCACTGTTTTGTTGTTGTTTGCAATGGTAATATATAATTGATCAACACGAGTCCAGAGTCCGGTTAAATATGGCGTTTTATTCTTTCCTATCAAATGATTTCTTTATACATAATTTCTGGAAAGATCTAGAACACGGTGATAATGCAAAACTGTGTTTTTCTCTGATTTAGCCTTTTTCTATGCTACTTGAATAGCTGTGAGAAATAAGCTGCATCTCTACTGTTGTTACTGCTATTACTGTTAAGTGGCGGATGTGAACTTTATAAATCCACACACGTGCTGTTAAGAAGCTCACAATATTTATAGATTCAGCGGTCATACCAGTGTATCAAGTTCGAGGGAAGGTTTGCCTCTTATTTACTGTTTTGTTTTGTTTTTTTTTTTTTATTTTTTTCGTAACGTTCATCTTTGGGATGCTTAGAATGGTACGGCATAGCTATATATAGTTTTTCGGGTGCACATGCTACACATGGTGTACACATGCTAGCTCTTAACCATAACATTAAAGGTATAAATACAACAGAGCATAGAGAGGTAAACTGCATAAATAAAATCGTTATAATAATAGCATTTTCATTAAAACGCTTATTTATAGCGAATTAATAAATCACGATTCTTTTTTGTGCGCACACATATCTAGGATATTTCAATTACGTTCGTTACTGGGTTTATTTGGGATAAAATGCACCCCTACGCTAAATAAACGAACAAAAAGTACATTAAAAATAATGGGGTCTAATTAGACTTGTGTGTCATTATCATCTGAACTTCTATTAGTTTGTTGAATTCGTTTCAAAAGTGAAAGTTTCATCTTTTTCCAAAACTCCGCCCTTTTGTGTTCATTTTCTTCCTCCGGCCATTCCAGATAGGTCACGTGACGCTTCATGAGTCTAAGCGTCTTGGGAAGCTGTTTATAAGGTATCTGCTCGAGAAACACAACAATGATCGCCCCACGCCTCTCCCGCAACACCTTTGCCTGAGTAATGTCAACCTCGTACTTACACCAATCACTTTTAATAAAGTTGTGCGAGATTATCAGTATAGTGGCTCTGCTTGCCTCCATTTTCTCTACTATGTTGTCTATGATGTATTCCCCAGGTAAGAAATCTCTTGAATGGATACACACTTTAAAGCTTATGTCCTGACCTTTACCTTGACCCTGGTCGGTACTCTGACCTTCACCCTCCACGTGCGGGAGAAATTGCCGCACAATCCACTCCTCACTACTGCCGGCGTAAGCCACGAAGGCGTCATATTCATAATGTGCTTGGTTCTTATTACATCTTACGTAGCTTTTACGAAAACGACTCTGTCTTCTTAGATGCCAACAGTATACGATGTCCAGACGATGATATGCNATGAATATTCATCAGTTCTGTAAGTTTCAAGCCAAAAGGTAAAACGGTTTTCCACTTATCGTGTTATCGGTGCTGCACAAATGCTGAAAAAAGTGAAAAAACAGCATAAATTCCCCAAAAATGGCCCGATCATGCTGATTTTCGAACTTGACCTGCGTTTTATGAATATTCATCAGTTCTGTAAGTTTCAAGCCAAAAGAAAAAACGGTTTTCCATTTATCGTGTTATCGGTAAAAGTGCACGGCGACGACGACGACGACAGCGACGACGGCGACGGCGACGACAGACGCAGGTGATGGCTATATGTACAGACACATCTGTGTCTGTAGATAAAAATGATACATACATGTACGTTACCGATAGGATTCATGTGAAATACTTCAGTTAATTGAAGGCAAGAAATCTTTTTAATCTCGTTTTCTTTTATTGTAATGTAGCATTAAGACATAAGTGTTGGCCCACAAAACGAAAGACAACCAATGAAAATAGAATAAATAAATAAATAATTACACGCTTCATGGTAACGTATGTATCGGTAACGTATATGTATCGTATTAACGTAACAAAGAAGACTGAGAGACGTTATAACAAGCGTGCGACGTTGTATATGTGCGCAAGCTTGTTATTACGTCGCTCATTCTTCTTTGTTACGTTAAAATGATACATACGTTACCGATAGGATTCATGTGAAATATTTCATAGTTAGTTGAAGGCAAGAAATCTTTTTAATCTCGTTTTCTTTTATTTTAATGTAGCATTAAGACATAAGTGTTGGTTCACAAAACGAAAGACAACCAATGAAAATAAAATAAATAAATAATTACACGCTTCATGGTAACGTATGTATCGGTAACGTATGTATCATATTAACGTAACAAAGAAGAATGAACGACGTAATAACATGCGTGCGACGTTGTATATGTGCGCACGCATGTTTAGACGTCGCTCATTCTTCTTTGTTACGTTAAAATGATACATACGTTACCGATAGGATTCATGTAAAATACTTCACAGTTAGTTGAAGGCAAAAAATCTTTTTTGTCTCGTTTTCTTTTTTTTTTTTTTTTTCAAGGTAACATTAAGATATAAGTGTTGGCCCACAAAACGAAAGACAACCAATGACAATAGAATAAATAAATAATTACACGTTTCATGTTAACGTACATGTATGTATCGGTAACGTATGTATCATTTTAACGTAACAAAGAAGAATGAGCGACGTAATAACAAGCGTGCGACGTTGTATATATGCTTGTTATTACGTCCCTCATTCTTCTTTGTTACGTTAAAATGATACATACGTTACCGATAGGATTCATGTGAAATATTTCACAGTTAGTTGAAGGCAAGAAATCTTTTTAATCTCGTTTTCTTTTATTTTAATGTAGCATTAAGACATAAGTGTTGGTTCACAAAACGAAAGACAACCAATGAAAATAGAATAAATAAATAATTACACGCTTCATGGTATCGTATGTTTCGGTAACGTATGTATCATATTAACGTATCAAAGAAGAATGAACGACGTAATAACATGCGTGCGACGTTGTATATGTGCGCAAGCTTGTTATTACGTCTTTTTCTATTTGTGGGCCAACACTTATGTCTTAATGTTAGATTAGAATAAAATAAAAAGAGATTTCTTGCCTTCAACTAACTTTGAAAATTGTTCATAAGATACATATGTCACCAAATAACAAAATATTTTTTTAATTCATTGTTTGTTGTCTTTTTTCACGACTGTGATGATACATACGTTACCCATACATACGTTACCATGATGCGAGAAGTATAAAGACCTATGCATTTAAAAAAATAGTAGCTCAATACATGTACTTCAAGGACATACATGTACCAAACAAACAATTTCAATTAAGCCTAAATATATCTTTCTAAAACCTAACTATATTATTTATTTCAAGTGTATCGTCACTGTTTTGTAGCTAATTTAGCACCAAAAATACCTATTTTTAAGGTATTCATGTGAAATGGAAATAAAAGAAATCGGTAGGAAAGTATTTAAATTTGCAGGCAGAACGTGCCCCATCGAGAGGCCGAACGTGTCCCAGGCCGGGGCACGTTCGGCCACGTGTTGGAAATTTATTTCATTTTAAATTTCTTTAAAACGTAAGGTCTTTTTTGACATTTTAACAATGTATAAAAAGGGGAAATTCAGCAGTCTATCTACTCAAAACACATCATTGAGATTCGTCAAGCAGCTGAACTACAACCGATCAAAGGAAAAGGGGCCGAACGTGCCCCGGTCTCCCCTACCCCAAAAATATCATTTGAGATTAAAACATAAATTTGAGAGATAACAGTATGATGAAGGTATACTTTTGATAAATTTATTTTACTGTGGATGCGGTCATTAAGTTAGCGTAAATTTAAAACCACTCACATACTATGCCACCTCTGAAATTATTCAGACTCTTCCTTTAAAGATGTAGACTATGTGGACACTGATAAAAATCCAACTTTGGGACTAGAACTATTCGCACATCTCGCAAAGAGACAAAGAGGTCATCGTTTGTTCATCTGCACCCAACTTTTAATAACCAACATTTATGTTTACCTTTGTGTTTATTTGAGAGCGTTCCTCAATTAGTGAAGAACCATTATAAACTTTACAGTAAACTTAAGAATTGCGTTTCGTTTACCAATCTTCACATTAGAATTGCCCAAGATGTCTGCTCCTTAAGACGATAAAATTACCCCTGGGTGAAAAGAGAATTATAATAATTGATTACTGTGATCGCTTGTGCGTAAGAAAGGCAAGTAGATCTACGGCTATTGTTGGTGATTTTTCAGCTTTTGCTACCACATTTCAGACCAATATATTTATCATCGTGCCAGCTTATATGAACGTAAATAAATTTGAGACTGATGCAGAGAAAACTGATCCTTCACTTTTTTACCATGTATGTCAGGAATGGTATGCTTAGGAGTGGAAGTTTTTTTTTTTTTTTTTTTTGGGGGGGGGGGGGGTTATATGTTTAATATGGTTGTCTTAGTATTGGGGTTAGTATATGGGCAAAGGTCACCTGTACAAAGTAAAGGGTAACAGACTAATAAGCTTCCTGGGGCAGCCTGGGCCACCATGCATGTACATGCCACAGTCGGACTCTAGATCACACTGCGTGTCGAAGAAAAAAAGAGAAAAAAAAATGTATTTCTAACTTGATAGTCAAACATTACCCATGTAGTACTTACTTATACCAGCTGATGTTACAGTGTGTTCCCAATGAATCTATTGTACTTGCTCACTTCACTTGGACTCTTGCTGTATGCAATCAGATTTAACAGTTTAACATGCCTCCTCTTGATTCAAACATGCTTTTTACATCACCAGCTTTTCTGTATTCTTTTTGGCATCAGAGAGAAGGGGAGAAAAGTGAAGGCTTTGATGCACCATTGTATTTTTATAATTAATGAAATATTTTCAGACTTCCTTTTCAAAATGGTGATCACATACAGTATGCACACATTTGAAGTTGGTACATTTCTTACATTTCCTACATTTGTTCTATGCAGTGATATTTTATTTTGTTCTAGGTTTCATATCCAGTCCATTAAGAAAACAACAAAAGACAGCATTTAAGCACCAATGCAGAAAATGCAGTCAGGTGAACAGGACATGAGAAACAATAAAACTTTGACTGTAAATGTGAAAGTTGAGCCAGCTGACAAGCATTTTGACCAAATTGCCAAAGTAGATACGTCCAAAAGAGAAGCTGTCCTTGAAAACGGAGCTGGAACTTTGGCAGATGTTCATTTGAGTTACCATATGTCTTCTTACCAAATCTGTGGAGGAAATAACACCCAACAGGACATGGTCAAATGTCAGAGCTGTGGTCAGATATATCTCCATGATGGCAGTGACGTATCTGGTGCAGGGACACAGACTGGAGAGAAATCATATAAATGCCAATATTGTAGAAATACTCTGCCTCAGCAGCATAACAGTGACAAGACATTATGTGAAAAAATAGATTTTGGATTGAATGAAAGCATTACTATGGATACAGGAGCATGTGCCAACCAAGAGTATAAAAAACATGTCTCTACAGCTGTTAATAAGTTATATTTAAAACCACATATCACAAACAAACCTTCTTATCAGTGTCAATACTGTGAGAAAATCTTTACCCTTAAAAGTAACTGTGTGAAACACGAAAGAATCCACACTGGGGAAAGGAGATTCAAATGTCGGTACTGTGACAAGACGTTTGTTGAAAAGAGATCTTGCATAGGTCATGAAATGAACCACACTGGGGAAAAGCCATTTAAATGCCAGTATTGTGAGAAGGCTTTTACTCTAAAAAGCAACTGTATCCAACATGAAAAAACTCACACAGGGGAGAAGCCTTTTAAATGTGAGTATTGCAGTAAAACCTACACTGCAAAATATTCCCTCTTATTACACGAAAGAACTCACACTGGAGAAAAACCGTACAAATGCCAATATTGTGACAAGACATTTGCACAGAAAGTCATGTGTATAAACCATGAAAGAACTCACACTGGAGAGAAACCGTACAAATGTCAGTACTGTGAGAAGGAGTTCTCTTGGAAAGATAACTGTGCACGTCATGAAATGATTCACTCGGAAAGAGCGACCTATAAGTGCCAGTATTGTGATAAAACATTTTACGAGAAAAGTTACTGTGTACGCCATGAAAAGATTAACCATGAAGGGACATACATTGAAGAGAGACCACACAAATGTCAGTACTGTGATAAAACTTTTCCTCGCAAAAATACATGCATGGTACATGAAAGGATCCACACTGGAGAAAAACCGTTCAAATGTCAGTACTGTGTTAAGGCATTTAACATCAAAAGTACTTGTGTTAAACATGAGAGGATTCACACTGGTGAAAAACCATTCCAATGTCAGCACTGTGAAAAAGCATTTGCTGTTAAACAAAACTGTAAAGAGCATGAAAAAAACTGTGGCAAAAGTGACAGGCTTCATTTTGAAATTCATAGCTCCCAGGATGAATTTAGAGAAAGTTCACCAGTTTCACAAGAGATGCTACATGAATGTCCTGTGAAATTGGAATATAGTGATGAAATACAGTAACAACCACAAGTACTTAATAACCTTCATGCATGTACTCAAGTCTTCTTTGAATACTGGTGATAAAGAAAATGACTAGAGATCTGATTCATTTCATGCCATATGTAAGTTTTACCAGGGAGCGATTCAGCTGTGAGCTAAACGCCAGTGCAATACATTTGAAATGTTCCCTTTTTTCTGTAAAAAGCACTCGGGTTTCAGTAGCCCCTGGAAATGCCCACCCCCACCCCATTCCCATGAGTGGCATGCTGATAGGTGAGATTTGGGCACCCATGGACCTAAGAAACCCAGGGTGATAAAAAGGGGTTTGATACTTTCATTCCAGGAGCTGTTCATGGTTTTTAAACCATTAAAATTGCTAAAATGACTGGCAAGCAAATTATAAAATTGGCCAGCCGAATAAAATGAACTATAAAATTGAAGAATAGAGTTTTTATTTGTTTAGGGGGAGTAACGATGCGGGAAACCAAAGATGTGGGGAAGTATTGGTGTGGGGGAGTAGAGTACCAGTGCTTGCATAAAAATTATTTAACAAGGGATGTATCTATGCAGGGATCTACAGGTGTGGAATCGTACCGATGTACATAATGTAAAAATGTACCAAAGGGGAGTATCGGTGCTGGGGAGTAATGGTGCGGGGATATATCGACATGACCCCACATATTTACGTAACAAGTAAAACTAGCCAACAAAATCCATCAAGTAAGTATGACGTGGCAGTCTTTAAAAAATCTCTTCTTTGAAAAATCAAGTTACTTAGTCACGCAAAAAGAAGGTATAATTAAAAATAAAGACTTATTGGCTCGACTCATTATTATTTTTAATAATGGTAGTAACTTCTCTTTTCATGAATAACTTTAAAAGATGATAAGACTTCACACACAGGCTACAGGCAGTGGCTCACAGGCAGGAAATGTTGTCTCTGTGTTCTCCCCCAAAGAATGGAATGAGTTTATTGATCGCAACCTTCACACATAAGGTAAAATCACATCTATAGGACATGAATACATATGTAACAATGCACTGGGGAGAAAAAATAATAAATAACACTAAAACAATTGTATTAAGGGTAAGTGTACAAGTAATACTTTTTTTAATACATATCACATATTAGTATAACGTACATACCCGTACTAAAAAAAACTTATTATTATTACTTGCATGTTTACATCCCACACAAATCAGACAGATACCCAGGGTACCTGTCTTTTTGAGCACCCATTTTATGGAATCGAAGCCACACGCATTGAGTTAATGAATCATATTCTGCGTAAATTGCACGTTTCATAAATAAACTTTTAGTTCTACTTGGGCACTGGCTGAAGGTTAATTGTACCATTTCCACAACCCAACATACTAAGTGTGGATTGAACTGCTGATCGATAATTAATTACCCCCTAGCAACTTCAGTAGACGTGACAGACATCTACAGTAAGCCGCTTAAGCTGCAAGCAATTTAGCGAGAATCCCCATGGAGATTGGTCGATCCCTGTAATTAGATCGATCTACTGTAGGTATGGGAGACCAGTCTTAGATAGAGTATGTTCTTCGCGCAAACAACATTAGAAATCCAATCACCGGAAATATATGTGGTTTGTCCCTGACATGAAAACGCTTCAAAGGTAGGAAGTTTACATAATGATCAGGTTGTTCAATTTACTTTTAGCCAGTGTCCAAGCATTAGAATACATGAACGATGATGAAATTTACGAAAGAATCCGCCTAACTGGGACAAGAAGAGCTGTGGAAAGGGTGGTGAAGCCCGACGGCCTCAAAGCAGCCGCCAAACTTTTGAGATTGACTACATTCATGACACTTTTTACGCAAGAGTTCCATTTCCGGTATGCTGTTTCGAGAGTACGGTGAGTAGCGAGAGAATATTTTAATGAACTTAACAAGAGAACTTAGCAATAGGTTAACGATAGCTTTTTGAATACAGCACTCAAAAATCGTAAGTTGTTCTACTTGCTAGTTCACCAAAACATAATGAGTTATTATTGCATTTTATTTCCGCTACATACAATCTTGATTAAGATTGTAACCAAGATGTCTGCGCCCTCTTGATAGGTAATCTCGTCATTTCCTGTACATTATAATAGACTTTGGTGGAGAACAAAGATCGAGACTTGTTCAGGGTAATCATGATGGCTTGATTTAGTTTCTGTAATAAGCCGATCGAAAGCTATTGTCCTGATATTTTCAATTTGGTCCTTCATAGCGTCTCGATCTCGTCTTCATTTGCATTAATTAGTTTTCATCATTAAAAGAAAAAAGTGACGCTAGCACTGTGGCAGGTGAGGGTACCAGTACGGTTGTCTTTAATGGATTACTAGTAATGGAAATTGTTGTTAATTAATGTTTTTGACTTTTTCAGTCTAATAAATTAAAGTTATTTAATGTTTTTTTTTTTTTTTTCAATCTTTACAGAATGGCTTCATAGATCATCATGGAAACATTTGAAAATGATTTGACACTGTAAGCACTGACCTTCTGAACACGAGTGATCTAAAAAAAAACAAAAAAAAACTTAAAATGTCATCACCTAACATTGTGAAAGTTGAACCATCAGTTCAGTATATCAACAATACCCCTAAAATGGAAGAACCAAATGAAAGTCAGTCTGTGGGAGAAACTCTGGCCAACGGAGCTGGGAACTTGGAAGACGTACAGTTGGGCATGTCGATACCTTTGGATAATACTGAAGGAGCATATGGCCAGGAAAAACAGCACAAATGTCAGTACTGTGATAGAACGTTTACCTACAGAAGGAACCGTCTGCAACATGAACGGTCCTGCATTCTCACAAGAACACAGGAAGGGCCGAAGGTGTATAAATGTCAGTATTGTGATAGGTCATTTTCAAAAAAATTCTCTTGTATTGGTCATGAAAGACTTCACACTGGCGAGAAACCATACAAGTGCAAGTACTGTGACAAGGCATACACTCGCAGAAGCACATGGTTACAGCATGAAAAAAATCATGCTCCTGATAAACCATTCAAATGCCAGTACTGTGAAAAATCATTTGGAGGAAAAAGTCATCATGAAAGACATGAATTGACTCACACTGGAGAGAAACCATACAAATGTCGTTTCTGTGATGCAGGATTTGCCCTCAAAAGCAACGTTGTTCAGCATGAAAAAATTCACACTGGAGAGAAAGCATTTAAATGCCAGTACTGTGGCAAGTCATTTACTGCCAAATACTCTCTTTCAATACACCATCGACTCCACACTGGAGAGAAACCATACAAATGCCAGTATTGTGACAAAACATTCAACCAGAAATATGCTCATAAGGTGCATGAGTTAATCCACACTGGAGAGAAACTATACAAATGCCGATACTGTAAGAATGAATTTGCAAAGCAAGCAAACTGCACCAGGCATGAAGCGCTTCACACAGACACAGAAAAAGAATTTTACCAATGTGTGTATTGTGAGAAAATATTTTTCAAAAAGGAGGACTGCATTCTTCATCAATATTCATGTAACCCCAAAAGGTAGGTCTTACTGCTTATTTTACATTCGTACACTAAAATTGTTGCTCAAGTCCCTAATTTGAGTATTTGTTCTCCCAAATCTGAGGCTTTTTATACCAATTATTGTTCATGAGGCCTATTTCTGAGTATGGCAGTATACTTGAGGAATTATTAAAACCATAAAACGTTTCAAATGTTTAACTCAAAAGTGTTGTGAAATTCTCTGGAGATCCTGTTAGATCAATCTAGGTATGGGAACCCAGTCTAAAGCACCAAAATTTATCAACTACAAAGGAACAGCTTAAACCATTATTTTATGGTGCAGTTATATAGACATTTGTTGCAAACACAAACTTGTGATAAACAAGTCCCCTCAAAATCCCATTTGGTATGTTCTGTAAATAAAATAGGGCCTGGTGAATGCTTGCCAAATCATCCCCCAATTTTTTACTTTCACTCAATGAAATTGTGGTTAAGGTTGTTAATTCAGCATTCACAGTTGCAAACTCTCAGTTCAAAATTGCAAATGACAGTTATTGTTTATGAGTCCAAAAAAAGTTATCCACTGGCAAAACGGTCAGCAGTAGGGACAAAAAAGTTGATTGTTCATTAAAAAAAAGGTCGAATAATGTTAGAATATGTTTTTGATAGTATATTTGGTACATGTTTTTAACTTAATAAGCACATATCAAATGAATGTGCTTTTAAAACAGATATGTTATAGTACTAGTAACAGTATTGTATAGAAATTAAATTAGTATTTCAATAATTTCATGTTGTTTGAAAGCTTGTTAGGTGATGGATTGTTGTAAGACTATTTTGCAAGCACAGACGTGTGTTAGACCAGTATGGCATAATATGGGTGTTGGGAGTCAGTATTTCTTTTAGAAAAATTCCTATTTTTACTATACTTTTGCAAGAAAATTCCTATGTTTTTTCTATTTTAATTTTTCATATTTTCCTATTTTCTGGAGCTCT